AGTGCCTGTCCATGCTTGCTCTCAGGCTGTTACATGAGGGATGCTTCAATTTACAACCAGAACTCCAGATTTTGGCCCTTTCTAGCTAGTGCTAGGCCCCTGGATGAGTTATGCTGGTTTTCTAAAGCTCTCTGCCACTGAGGAGAAGAGGAGGTAACAGCTTTCTGCTGCCCCAACTTTCTCCTCTGGTCAACACTGTCTTAGAGAACCTTACAAATATTAACCAGGCAGAAATTAGACCCAATGTTTGTAACAGAGAGAACCTGATTTTGCCTAATTTCTGTCTGTATATTGAGCTGCAGTGACTCTTGCTACATGTGTTGTAAAGCTAATACCTTCCTGCTTTGCCAGAAAGGAAGCTTTTTACCTCAGCTTCTTCCAAGTCTTGCCCATAGTCATCTGATTCCGCCACAGCTTGTCTGCTGGAAAGCCAGTCACCCACTAACTGGATCTCTCTCTCAAACTGGTACAATTGGTACTGTTCCTGCAGGCATCTCCTCTGGGTCTCGGTTTTCTGTAGCAGAGACTTGAAGTTTTCTAGGACAGCCTGGAGCTTCAGGAGCATGGTTGAACTGTAAAAAACAACAACCAGCAGCCACGTCACTGGTCAGAGTATTTAGCCAGTAAAATCAATTTCTGCTACTACCTTTGTACAGTGTCTCTGCTGCCCTCTAGGGCTACCAAAACAGAACCTGTAGCAACCCAAATACATGGAAAAGGAAGAATCTAGTAGGGTGAATTATGCTAGTAGGGAGAAAACCAATAGGAAATTAAAATAAAATTTCAGAGAATGCTTCTTTCCCAGTTCCCCCCCCCAACAGAAAAACATTGGAAAGAGACAAGTAATGAATTATGAAGAAGACTGTTTTGCTTTCCCAGACATGCTGATCACAGATCCTGTAAACAAAAGGCTCTGGACGGGAAATGCTGGGAATAGCAGAATTGTCCCATCCATAGGACAATTTTGGGCACCTGCCCTGGTCCCCACCCTTCAGGGGGTTCCACGTTTAAGGGAGATATGGAAGCATGGGGTCAAAGGCAGCCTGATCAATTAGAAGGGGGCTTGGTGCCAGCAGAAGGGGTCAGGCCTGCCCCTGTACTCACTGGTGACTGAGGGAAACAGAGTGACCTGGCCCCAACCTGCTCTGCTGGTTCTCAGTGTTGCTCAGGAGAGAAAGCCTGGGGGAAGAGCTGGAGTGGAGGTTGGTGGAGGGCAGAGCAGAGCAGGATTATCCTGAGCCTCACACCCCTCTAGGGATGACCCTAGGGAGCAGGCAAGGCCAGAGAAACTAGACAAAGGTCTATAATCTTTTGTTGCTTGTTATGTGGTTCTGTTGCATTCTCTAAATAAGAGGCAATCATGAAAAGGCACATTTTTGTTGAAGGGGAAAGGAAGAGGTTTAAAACGTCTCCTGCCAACAGTATTTCTGAGAGAGTCACTGAATGGTTAAGCAGGGCTGCTTTTTTCAGTTTGTACCTCTCTAGTGGGTTTCTCTTAGAAGTGCAATAGCAAGCCGGTTCCATTTTCCTACCTCTCTGGGTTGTCGCTGTTTATTAGTTTGGTGCCAGTCTCCTGAAGCTTCTCAATTCGGGGCTTGAATCCGTCCACATCTAGCTTGGTAGCCTCCAGTTTACGAAGTGACACCTGGGTGGATTCTTCATTCTTCCCGCAGTCAGATGTCTCCAGGATGAACGCTCTCTCTGCCATCCAGGATTCTGCTTCCACAAGCTGTAGGAAATACAGGGGTAAACTGGACACTCAGCTGCCTGTGCACGAGAAAGAAACCTGGAGAGCACTAAAGATGATAGTGGACAGCGACTTAGATGGGATGTTGCAGGACAGTACAGTAGCTTTCACACTGAAAATTGAGACACTAAACTAAGAGTCAGCGCCGTTGGCACGTGGCTCATCAGGGAATCTGCTGGCAGGCCACATGACATTTTATTTACTTTCACCACCCCCCCACCCCCTGCAGCTCCCATTCACTGTGGTTTGTCATGGAAGTAGCATAGGCCACATAGACATGCTGGCCATCAATTCCCACAGTTCACATTAGTTAGGAACAGCAACGGTAGCCTCTGGGAGCTGCAGGGGGCTGAGTCTGAGGACAGTCAATGTAAAGAAAACATCCCACAGCCTACCAGTGGCTGAGGCTAGCACTGTGGACATCTGACCTGTGGTGTTGCTCAACAATTGCTGAGAGCCAAGAAGGCTGGCAAAGACCTGCTTCATTCAGTATCTGCATTCAACCTGACTAACACTGCTTCGCATGAGCCTTCTGCCCAGCATAACAACCAGTTTTAACAACTCGTGTCAGAGCCTCTGACAGGCGCAGTTCCACACATGATCCTTTGGACAAGCGAGGACAGCAGGAGAGACTCGTGGCACTCTTGCTGGAATTCTGCAATTTTACTATGGCTCTAAATGTAGCAATTGCAGAATTCCAACAGGACTGCATGATGTAATATATGGGACTGATGTACCTTGAATAATTAATAAGTATTGTTTCCATCAGGGCCTTAAAAATTAGAAACCCTATCCAATTCTGTTAATCCCAAAATAGGGTCCACATATGAAGACCATAAGAAAATGGTTCATATCATGAGAGATGCTTTGTCTAAAGACTCACTTATTATCCAAAGTCAGGCATTCCCCTCCCCAACTATTCAAACTAAAATGGCGAAATGAGGGTATTGGTATTCACCAAGGCAAGAATCTCTCATTAGTTGCATGGTTGTAAATGCCTTTCTCCTTCCCAAACTAGTTAACATATTTAAAGTTACCAAACAAGAGTTGTACTCTGCTTTCCTTTGCAAAATGGCCCATCCCCTGAGAAATGGGTGGGGAAACTGCCAGTTAAACAAACTAGAAACGTGGCTGCAAGAGTGAAGGTCAAATTGCACAAACTGTTACCATAAGAAATCCAACCATATGTTTCACTCCAAATTATAAACTATACATTGTTTCCTTTTAAATATAATATGCCATGAACAATCCGTCTTTCTCCCCAAATTAAAATCTGCACATCTGTTTGCCTGGTGAGTTAGATCTATATCCTTCTGTATGTGGAAAAGGCCTTTTGTTCTATTGTAAGTCTTAAATAAGATGAAATGCTTAGTATACTCAAAGAATACATAGAGCATGTCCTCCACATTTAGAAGGTTATGAAGATTGTTGGTTTTCATTGTAAATAATATTGCACTCTAGAAGTAACAGGAACTGTCTGGCACAAGGAAGGAGAAATATTGAACGACATTAACAAGGGGACATTAAGAGACATTAAGGGAAATCACTTAAAAGGAAGATCCTGATTGACAGTAGGGGGCAAATCTTAAAATCCTTGAAATGACTCAAACTTAAGAAGCCTCTGACAAGAAAAGGATGAAGGGAACTTGTTATACACCAATGCCGACTACTGGTTGCCAGTGGAAGCAGAAACTAAGAGCTGAAATCTGAGGACTCACTTGACATGACTGCAGTTAGTACTGACTCTCAGTCTAACTGTAAAAGCGGCGAGGAGTCCTGTGGCACCTTATAGACTAACTGAAGGTTAGTCTATAAGGTGCCACAGGACTCCTCGCCGCTTTTACAGTTAGACTGAGAGTCAGTAGGAATGAGAGTGTGACCCCCCTCCAATGAGTCCGTATATTAGGATGTGTAAAGAGAGGCCCCCATGCATTTTGGGGGTTGACTGAACCCAACAGAACAAGCAGCAGAATCCCAAATGCAAGTGACATTCCAATCTGACATGTGGAAGGACTCTCCCCCGTTATAGAGGAATTGGCGAGATTTCATCTCAAAGACTGTATTCCCCTTTCTGTTTGTAAACTTGACCTTTGTTGTCAGCGTGAGAGACTCAACGTGCAAACTTAGGAGCTAAAGTCATGTGCCTCTACAGCAGAAGCTAAAGGCCAACTTCTTCTCAGCGAAGGCTGTAGTGTAGACTTCACTCTCCCTTGTCAGTGGTCTCAGTGCCTCTGGGTTACATGTTCTTTAATAAAAATACCTGTAGGTTATCTTGCTGGGTCTACACTCTCGTGAGACCTCATGAAACCATATTTTAGATTCTAACTCCTTTATAAGTCCAAGCTAGAGAGATTTAAAACAATAACTCTAAGTAATTACTTTTAATATTCTAAACTTGTCCATTTTTGGACCAGTCCAGTCAAAGAGAAGTATCCATGCTCTCCAAACTGCCTTAAAGACAAGTGCATCCTGGGAAGTATGATACCCATTTTAGGTAATAAAGCATTGAAAATTGTTGGTGATAAGAAATCTGGTAATTTGCAGTGAACTTCGATAGAACTGTTGAGCCTCAACTCTAGTCAGTGATAACTGCTTTCAGGACTATCGTGTGTGTATAATGGACAGAATTGGTTGTGTGTACATTTGAGTGGTGAACTGTTGATTCTATTGTTATGTGGTTCTGGGAGTATTAATAAATGGGTAGTTGATTAAGAATAAGCAAATATCCTGATTTGAGACATGCAGTTCAAGTTGAAAGCTGACCTGAAAAGAACCCAGCATTAAACTAGTAAGCTAGTGCTCCCTGACCTCAATAAAAAGGACTTATTCTACGGGGTTCTATTATCTATTGGCAAATCTAGTTTGTCTGCATCCTGACAAATTCATAATTTTTGCACTTATAACGCATCTTACCTCACTGAGAAATTGATGGGTCTCATATGATTGCATGAGTCTTCTTCTCCTCTCTTGAGCCTCAGCTTTCAAGGTTTCTACCAAAGTGCCCAGCTTCTTCAAACGTTCCATGATCTCATGGGAGGCAAAGTGTCCGCCCCTCACCAGCTTCTGCCCAGTGCTGATCACTACTTTTGTAAGAGCATCATGGCTGCTAATCTCATTCTCCAGGTTCTGGAAAGCACAAATGAGAGCCCCAGAATGTAAGCAACTGAAACTGTTCTACTTACATGCTGCATTTAGGAGTCTGGTTTTCACATTTTACAAAAGGGGCCAAGGTTGCAAATTTAGATCCAGACCAGAAATCATTGAAAACCAAGGAGTATTTGGACCAAATGTTTTGTTGGGCCTGTGAAATAAAAAGAAAGAGAAAGAGAAAGAGAGAAAAGCTGCCAAGTTCAGTTCCTGATCCAAACTTTGTCAAGATTTTGAGGTAAAAGACCCTGAAGCACAAGTACTTGTTATCAGGAGCAACTACCTGAAATACCCACCTGAATCCATGGTCATGCCATACTTCATGGGTTAATTAATGAACTTCTAGGAAACTGCCCCAATTTTCCATCAGTTTAGCAGCTAATTGGTGTTTCTAGCTCTTCAGCAACATTCCAGGATACACAGCTTTACAAAAATGGCATTTATAAGAATCACAGGAACACACATCGATGATCAAGGTAAGGCGATAATGGCAGGAGATGCAAACTACTCAAACCAGCACCCAACACCCTCTTCCAATGTTTGTCAAACCAATTCAGTTCATTCCTATGCATGTACATTACTCCCCCTTCCCCAATGGTGTTCTTCCCTGTCTTACTGGTGTAATTTAGATCTTATTTAATTTGGGGCAGGGACTTGGTCTTCATACTTGTCTGTTAAGGGTACCATGCATTCTGTAGGTGTTAAAATGACAGCACCCTACATATGCAAAATATTTCCCAGCATTTTCCAGCCTGAGGAAATAGTATTGCTTAAGTGGTAATGACTGTGGAATTGAGTCGGAATGAGAGTTATACATCTGAGTTACACTAAATAGAAGAGATTCCTTCTGTAGCAAGGAGACATACTTTTAGCTCAACTGGCAGATCACGTGTCTGTGAATGATGGGGGTCCTGATTCGAAGCTTAACTTTTATTTCCTCTGAGTAATTTCATAGGCAGCCACTATGTTGCTGAAAAGTGACACCCTGTCTGACACCAGCAGAACAGAATCCAGTGTCAAACAGTTTGTACCGCGAATTAAAAATAAGGCAGCAATGTGAATAAGAGCTTCAACTATTTAATATTTAGGGACATATTTTCAAAGCTCTTTTATTTGCACCCACAGCAAATGAAAACGGTGGTGTGTACAAACCCTACATTTTTTACACGCACACACACACACACACACACACGCACGATTGTTATAGATGCATGTTAATATACACTGCAGAGGCAGGTATCATATTTACTCTTCTGTGCTAGTAAAGGAGGGACTGAATTTTGAAAACTTGGCAGATCAAGACTAAAAATAAAACAGCAGTGTTCTTTAGGGGTGAAACTAATCTCACAGGAGAGCAGAGTGTGGCTCCTGATCGCTGACACAAGATCCTTGCCACTCCCCCACAGCCAATGTAAAAATGTCAAGTGGCCTGTAGTAACTAAAAGACTCAGAACTGGAAATATGAATTAAAAGCTCTGAGGGCCAATATCACTTTCACTGGAAGTACTGGAGAATTTTGCAGTTAAAGACAGCATCACCACAGTCCCTCCCACCCCCCAAACTCCTTCTCCTGGCTAAACCAACCCCAATCGCTCATTCCTTCAGGGACCTAACCTACCTTCTTACAATGTCAGTTGGTTCAGAATGTTTCTAAACAGGAGTCTAAATGCAAAAATAATGTAGCTCCAACTTTCCATCATGAACAAATGATCCTCCTGCACCAATTGCATGTTCTTAAAATGCTATAAATCTTCTATTTTGTGTGTTTTAACCGCTCCCTATTCAAAATAAAATCTACATCAAACATTAGGAAGGCAAAGATTATTCTCAATAGACCTGCGGCCTCCACAGCTAACTACAGTGATCCAGCTGCTGTTTCATTAGTATAGGAGATGACAAAATTCCAGGTTCTGCTGGTCTCTGATGACACATCTAAACATTGCAAAATCTTAGTAGTCAGCTTGAAAGCTGTTACTAAAATGATGGTAAGATAAAGATAATCATGTTTTACTTTGTCAAACAGTGCAGGAGGGGAATTTCCCTCACCTTACAGGCATCTGGAAGACTGATATACGCTGAATGCATTTGCTGAGTTTTTAAACATTTCTTTGGGACATTTGTTATAGATGCATGTTTCTTGGAAAAGCCATGCCAGCATACACAGCAGCTTGCAATACTAAATAGATTTTACAATATCCAGGATCAGAGCTCAATAACTTTCACAAAGGGATAGGGTGCTTAAAGGGCAATGCAGGGGTACTCTACCATGCCCTGGGTGAAGTCTTGTTCATTACTAAGGTGCAGAATTGCTCATTACAAAGCACCCTTCTGAGACAAGGGTCAGAATCATCCCTGGAAGAAGTGATGATTTTGCTGCACCCAGAGTGGTGATCAAGTGTTTCGCTGTAAGTGCACAGGCACCATCCCATGTTCTCCTGCTTGACTTACAGTGTGGATGGTTCCTGTGCTATTTTACCTGATGCTTTTCTTGTAAACTTTGGACAGTTGCTGGGGACTGGCCATAGTCCTTGGAGGAAGCCAAGGGGAGCTTCTCATGAACCCAGGCCAACTCATCATCAACATCCTGGAAAAACTGGTACTGCAGCTTGCTTGCTTCCAAACTCCCACGCCTCTCCTGCAGTGGCTCACTTAGGTGCTTGTACCTGCAGATTTAAAATGGAACCAGATTAACACAATAGAGAGATACTGAGCTAACACAAGCAGGAGAACTGGCTATAGAGGGAGGGAGGAAAAAGAGAGGAAGTGAGAAAAGAGAGAGGAGAAGGAGGTCAGAGAAAGGTAGAAGGGGGCAAAAAGAAACAAAATGGGCACTCACATACCTGCGCACCACCTGATTGACCCTCTCCTGTATCTCATCTGCAAGGAAATGCTTCTCTTTCTGGAATTCCTGGGCTGTGTCCACAAGTACTTGTAGCCGATTCCTATGGCTAGCAATATCTTCCTCCAGTTCCTCTTGTTTCTTCAGGAGACTATTTAAAACCAGCAGGTCACTGCTATTGTCTGGAGCCTTCAGCTCACTTTCCACTTCTCCCAGCCATTTTTCTATGTCCTCCACACTCCTCTGGAAGCACAGGGCCTGAGGGTAGGCAGGAAGCAAATGTCAGCAGCCATTTAGGGGGTAAAAAATGCCAGCTTCCTCACTTGGGATGGGGTGGATCATAGAGGATCACAAACTAAATATGAGTCAAGTATTTAGCACTAACAGGAGAAAAAAAGCAAACATCATTCTGGGAAGTATAAGCAGAAGTGTTGCAAGCACGACATGAGCAGTGATTCTTCTGCTGTACTTCACACTGACTACGTCTCATGTGGAGTACTGTGTTCATTTCTGGGTGCCACATTTCAGGAAAGATGTGGACAAACTGAAGAAAGTCCAGAGAAGAGAAAAAAAACAAAACAAAACAAAACATGACCTGTATGGGAATACTGAAAAAATCAGGTGTGTTTAGTTTGGAGAAGAGTAGACTGAAAGGTGATGTGGTAACAGTTTTCAAGTACATAAAAGGCTGTTACAAGAAGGAGGGAGATGAATTGCTCTCATTAACCTCTGAAGATAGAACTAGAAATGGGCTAAAATGGAAAAAAGGGTGGGTTAAGGTTTTATATAAGAAAAAACTTCCTAACTATCAGGCCTTGTCTATACTACCACAGGCCGTCGACCTGTTACGCAACTTCAGCTAAGTGAGTAACATAGGCGAAGTCAATGCACTTAGATCTGCTTTCTGTGGTATCGTCACAGTGGTTAGTCAACAGCGGATGCTCTCCTGCTGATTCAGCTTACTCCTCTTATTTTGGTGGAGTATCAGAGTCGATGAGAGAGTGCTCAGCAGTCAATTTATTGCATCTACTAGACATAATAAATTGACCCCAGTGATGGATTGATCACTGCCTGTTGATCTAGCCAATAGTGACATGTCCTCAGTACTGGAATAAATTGTCCAGCGAGGTTGTAGAGTCTCTGTCATTGCAGATTTTTAAGAGCAGGTTGGATAAACATCTGTCAGGGATGGGCTAGTGATCCTTAGTCCTTCACTGAATGCAAGGGATTTTCCTAGATGACCTCTTGAGGTCCCTTCCCATTCTATGATTCATGCCCAGGGCTGCTGGTGGATGTGATATTTTGGCACATATTGCTCAGCATCCTTTTCTGGAGCTCTGGCCCTAAACAAAAGCTTCCATTCAGCAACACCACAAGAGAATATAGAAGCAGTCCCAGACTTCTCTCCTTTAGAGTTCCCACCACTTTGTGCAAGATTCAGTGCAGCTTGTTATTTGCTATGGTGATTAACTCCTTAGCTCCAGTGGTTTGGTGCAACAGTGCATGTGAGGCAATAGGACATAAATGAGACTTAGCACTGCTGCCTTGCTCTGTCACTGGAAATGGCAGCAGAACCTGTCCCCAGCTTTACCTTGTAGGCATCCTGTAGTTTGGTCCTTTTTTCATTGCAGTTTTGCAGCAGTTCATCCCAGAGCTCTTTCATTTCTTGCAGCCTGGACTGAATGGCCTCAGGAACGTAATGTCCTTCTTGCAACATCTTCTCTCCTTCCTACAGCAAAGACCACAGACATCACCACCCTCTCTATTAGCCCACTGCTTCATAATGTGCCATCTGTTCTTCTAAGGCGTGTGCTTGATTATGGTTATCAACACCCACTTGGGAGTGCACGCACTTGGGAGTGAGAACCTGCTTCTATAATCTTTAGTAGTCCTTTACATAACACAGGAGGTTTGGTGGGGATAGAAGAAAACTATCTTAAGTCAACACTATTGCTGGGGATGGGATGGTAGCTGAGCTTGCCAGACTTCAGGTCTCTAGTGCTATTTGACATGCCAGCCACTTATTGCAGCAGGATGTCCGGGGGGTCAGTACTGATTTACAAAAGCACACTACAATCTCCTGGCAGAGGACCAATCTGAGGTGAAAGTACACAACAGACTGATATTGAATCTGATTTGCTGGCATGGCATTAGTAAATGCCCATTATCCAGTTCCTTTCTCATCAATGCCCGGGGGTGCTAAAAGCAGGCCCTCCTTGTGCACTGTATGATAAAATCAGAGTCTGTCTATTTCTATCATACTTCTCCAGTTTCAGATGCTTATAGATTAGATGGGGAAGGGGAGGAAGAACATCCAGCAGGCTGGCAACTTTGCAGGTATGTTCTCAGCCCATGAGCAAGTTTGTATTATATCCTTCTAAAGTTAAATAGAGGCATTGTTTAGTTATGCAAATGGGAGAAGTGGGAGAGGAAGGAACCCATAACAGATTTGCAGGTGCAGATTTTCCTCTACACAATAAGTCAAAAACTATCTTTATAAGATCATTTCAAATAATGTTTTAAAGGCACATGATCCAGGCGGTTCAGAGAAGACTACAGCTGCACCCTGCAGGGGTCTACAAACAGTTAATACTGCAATACTCAGGCACAAAGAGATAAATGTGGGTTGAAACCTCACTCTTAACTCTGAAGTGTATGTTGTAATGTAAAGCGTCTTGTACATGAATAGTGCAACAACAATTGCTGAACTGAGTTTAAGTTAAATAAACATACACGTAAGCATTCCAAGACTCTCCATCTAAAGGTTGTATGAGATACCTTGCCAAAGCTTAATATGTTCCATTTTTAGTGATAATTCCCCTTACATTTTTGGTGCCTCTTAAAACCCTGGATTTGACATGCTCCAGGCTGTTAAGACTAAATGTCAAAACCCACTTTACAAGTTGGTAAAATTACTGCATCCATTTTGCAGATCATCAAGTGAGGCAATGCCAGGTAGAACTTAAGTTAATTTATCCTGGAGCTCACGAGTGCCCCATCTTGTTTAATATCCTTGTGATTCAAAGATTCTGTTTGGCCGAACTTTTCCTGCCACTCCCCACAACAGTCCCACGTCTCTTACAGCCTTGGTGCTGTCTATGCGATTTCTGTTGGCCATGATCTCTGCGTGGAAAGTCTGGTGTTTCTGTAGCTTGGTCTGCAGGTTGCTCGGGTCCTTCCAGCTCTCATCCAGAGCAATACTGTTCTTCTCATTTATCCAAGCTGCCACCTTGGATGTGGGGAGGGTCAGGTGGGAGGACACAGAAGAAGACAAGATTTTTTTAAGCTACTCAGATCTCATTTTCTAGGATCCCCTTTAACATATCTAAATGTGGGGCTGGTTTATGTAGAGTAACAAAAATTCTCCCTTGAATTCTCCTCTGCATGCCTCCCCAATCTCCTCCTGTCTACCTGAAGGAGTTCCTCACTGTATCTCCAGCCACTAATATTCTGTCTAGCTCACATGACCCTAAACACAGTGGCATTATCCCTTTCCCACAGGGTGCGCACATGTGTGTAGGAAGGGACTGTCTCCATAGTTCTACTCACAAGTCTTTTGTGTCTCACAGGGAAAAAACTACTCCGTCCCTTTCCACTAACTCTCCAATGTGGAATGCACCCCCTTTAATATCTGCATTTCCTTCTGTGTGTCCAAAAGACATCACAGGCTATATTTATCTTGAGCCACAATGTGAACTCAATTTAAGAGGAATAAGGGATCTTTCAGAAAAGGCTTTATTTTCTGAAAGATCCCCGTCTAGACTGGTGCTTTTTTCCGGCAAAGCTCCGAGCCGGAAAAAAGCGGCAGCCATGTTTATGCAAATGAAGCGGGGGGGATTTAAATCCCCGCTTCATTTGCAATTGCGATGTGTCTAATTTGCATCCCTTTTATGGAAAAGGGATGCAGTCTAGACACAGTCCAAGGGTTTTCAGACTTTGGATGGCAGGTTTAAAAGGGCAAGCTTCTAGCTGGCTTCAAGATACTTCAATTCCTTGAGCCGCTACAGGTATGGGCTACATCAGTGTTCCTTCTGAGGTGGGCTGCAGCACAGCTTCACAGGTGATTAATCAGCCCTACCCAGTCAGAGGCTCAGGGCTCAGTGCACAGACCTAACTGAGTAGGACTGATTAATCACCTGTGAAGTTGTACTGCCCTGCGATTTAGAGGGAACACTGTCCATCCCAGTTCCTGTTGGCCCCAGATCACTGTTCCCAGCCAATGAGAGCTGCAGGAAGCGGTGTTCTAATTTGCACCACTTCCCACAGATCCCATTGGCCAGGAACGGTGGTCTGCAGCCAATAGGAGCCATGATTGCCTGTACCTGCAGAGCAGAGGTGCAGGTAAACAAAGCAACTCAAGGCTAGCTAGTGGCTTTGCCCTTACAAGCTATAATCCAGAGTCTGAAAAACCTTGGTGGACTTAATTTTAGATGGAGAGGCAGGAGGGGCTTGAGGGCTGAAGAAGATGCCTTCTTTCTTTGCACCCATATCCTCCAGTCTCACGTGATACCATCATAGCTTAATTTCCTTGGTTCTTTCCTAGTAAAGAAAACTTCAGGGATTCATGCCCATGAAGCACTGCTAAACCACCAAATGTTTTAAGAAATCACCACAATATGAGTGAGATATAACTGTACCTCAAAAGAATTCTGCAGAAACCTCTGCAAAAGCCTAGATTCCTCCAGCACATGCCTGCGAGCCAGAGCCTTCTCCAGCAGTTTGTCTTTCCTGTGACAGAGAGAGACATGAGGACAAAGCTACAGCAGAGGGGACTAGTTGGCATAAGTGGTTAGCATTTTAGTTTGTCACTTTGAAAACTCATGTCTGCACTGTGACCTTAGGTTCCAGTGAATACCTAGTCATATAACCCAATTACCATATAATTCAGCATGTGTGGCAGACTTGCTGCCCAAGACTGGAATATCAGGGGTTCAGTCGTTAAGCACCATTAAAAGTTAAATATGCACAGCATAGGTACACACTATACCTGTTACCAGCTAGCACTACCAGTGAATGCCTCCACAGGCTGCCACATGATCAGCAAAATAATGTTAACATTGTGGCTGTATGCACATCACCTATAACATTTCTTGTTCCGGAAACTGGGGTCAGCCTTGGAAGTTTATCATATTAAAGCTACATTGTTCTTCAATGCAGCCTCTCCCATCATTACGAAAAACAGTAAGAAGTGTGACAAGTAACTGAGGCCTTAGGTAAATGCATACATGAGAGAACATGGTCACGACAGCCCTCTGGTTTCTTATTCATCAGGGGCTATGTCTATGCAGCATGGCATCCCTAATATCAGGCAGGGACATGGATTCAGTACAGATGCAGGGAGATGTGCATCTTCCTGAATCACCAAAACCTCTTCCTGAATCACCAAAACCTCTTCCTGCACCAACGAGGTGCTCCTTGAAAGACTCCCATGAAAATACTGACCTGCCTCAAGCCCCCTAAGCTTGCAAAATTTGGCAGGGCCTCAGCACAAAGTGCTATGTGGACTGAGTACAGATGAATGTCTATGATCCTGCTAAAAGATCTAAATAAAAAGGAGTAGAGCTGGAAGGGACTCATCTGGAAAGGCAGTGTAACAGTGACAGGGAAAGGGTGAGGCTTTACCCAATGTTCTCGCTAATTTTTCCACCCATGGGTAGAATAAATTTTGTAATGTGCACCAAAGCAAGTGTGGATGTGCACCACCAGTAGAAACACATGCTGCCAACTGTGGGTGCTCTGCTAATCAGCTGAGCAGCATTTGAATGTCTCCTGGGTGGCTGCCCAAGTGCTCAGCTTGCAGGGAACACTAGCTTTACCTCCTCAGAACAGCCTGACACTTGTTCGAGATGTTCTCCGAATCGTAATGCTGGTTCTGCCTCAGTTGCTGTGCATAGGAGGCCATCACATTGATCTTCTCCATCTGGGCTTCCAGAGCCTTTTCAAACTGCACGTGTTTCCGCTGCAGGCTCTCCACACTAGACACAGAATCCTGGATGGGATTCAGTGACAATGTCCCTCATTAGAAGGAAGATGCTCTCAGAGTCATACCAGTCACCACATTCAGGATACAGGAATTAAGCCGTCTTTACCCTTCCCTCACAAACTGCCTTGGAAATGTATTGGCCTTTACATTTGAGAACACAGTCCCCTGGCCTTCAATGGCTTTCTACCTACAACGTGGGGGCAGCAGTTCAGTGCTGAGCAATATTCTGTCTGCTTCAGTGCTGAGCAATATTCTGGATGCTTAGCTCCATACACTGCAATGCAAGGACAGAGCACTCAGAATTGCCTGGCACAAAGAGCAGATTGAGGTTTGGAGATACTGAGTTAGTAGGAGATATCTGCCCTAGTAGGAAGCCCCAGGAAGAAAGGCTATAATATTTTAGTGGATTTGAGCCCCATTTAGTCATACTTCAACCTTGCAAGAAATGACAAGCTGGGATCAGTTAATGAATAAATATATCAGAGAGATAGACTTGCACCAGATCACCAGCACCAACCTATGAACTTTGAGAAACCTCAGATCCAGATTTCAACTGGATGACTCAAGTCTAGTTTTATCAGAAGCATGGAAACTGAAGTCCCCTGAACTTTGTGATCCAAACTTCATGACTCAGATCTCTCTCTCTTGCAGAATCAGAGGTGTCAAAATGCCATAACTTTCATTAGACATGTTTCTCCCATTATTTATTTTCAGCCAGGACAGCACCAAAAAGCATTGGAAATCTCTTGAGGAAAGTTATCATCATGAAATTTCTAGCCCTGTTTTCAGATCACAATGCACCAGAGAAGCATCCAAATACCCAGGCATTTGTACTCTTTGGAGGTGTGTCATCAGTAAATACAGCAACATCGCTGAAAGGCAGAGAGGACTCAATAGGATATTTTCTGTGCTCTGATGTGCTGAAGATGAATGGGATATATATGGTGTCCTATGAATTCTTGGTATATTTCAAGGGATGGTACTGTACATGTGTATATCCACACAAAGCCCCCCAGAGGCAGACACCAACACTGGACATATTCCATGCTATTAACATGTTTTCTTGGGCCATATGTGACCGGTCACACAGGTGTAATTTGAGATCCCATCTCTAACAGGACTGGGTAGAATGTCTCATGACATGTGATGTTGAAAGCCTGATGTAGTGGGGAGCTTCGCACGAGGAAGAGCTAGAAGGGGATTTCCAAAAGCTCACAGAGTCAGTTACACCTCCCCTATCTTCTCCCAGACATCTCCCCGCTCCAATGGAGATGCTCTAATTATCCACCTCACTTACCCCTAAATCCTCATTGGCCAGGAAGGCCTCTTTGCTACTGAGCCAGCTCTCGTTCTGCTCCACATAGCCAAAGAATTTCTGTTTGAGAGAGAAAAAGAGCAATGGCAACCACGAGTCCAGTCTCTCACCCGTACAATAGGGATAATACTCATCTTGTAAAAGTGTGGCTGGTGAATACTTACTGCTGTACAGGACCACTGTGAGGATTAATTAGCTAAAATAGACATAAGAGGTGTATGCAAACAGTGTCCATAAGTATACCAGGTTAAGTATTTACCCATTAATAACAGAACTTTCTTGCTAGCATATACAACGAATCAGACTCAGGGTACTGGATTTTCCCATGTACAACAAAAACATTTCTAGCATATATGCCAATGCTGTGGATCAGAATCTCCCACCTTTATTCACAATGTATAGTACTGTACTTTGTGGGCAGTCCCAGTGCAGTAAGGTACTATGCAAATAGAGAAAAGGAATTCAAATCTAGTCCTAAGTAAATTGAATTCTACTCTAGTGAGTTTAGAGTTCAGCACACTCTTCGGGATCCTGTAATCTGATATTCACTTGACATGTCCAAATCCACACAAGCCTTTTTTTTATTAACCAACAGTCCGTCCCATAAACAACCAGCATGATTTAACACTTCTACATTTGTCACCCAGTTTTGCCATCTTACTTGAAGAATTTTACACATCTGACCTAAAAGCTGATTATTCTTTTGCTATGTTTGGCGTAAGTCATCCTTTTTTTCTGAGCCATATAGAAGAGTGGAAGCACTCAGACAGTGTGCTGATGAGCACCATAGAAAATCCCACGAGGAAATTAATCACTTTCTTCAGACCAGTGTTGGAATGATATGCAATCAATAGGGCTTAGGGCTACACATTGAACAACAAGGAGAAACAAAATATTCTATAGCTGCTCATTCTTTGAGCACCAGCCATCTTGTGCATGGTGGGAAAAAATGGATGTGATCAAGTATTAAAACACTGTATCAAAGCATATGCACAAGGGGACTAAATAAAAGTTGTGCAAACAGCCTTAATTTTGGCATTTCTAGCTTGTGAGAGCTTGACTTTGCAATCTCAATAATGTTCTTATAATAGATTTTGATGTGTAATATATAAGTGAGGTTATCACATGAGTCTGTGTACATGTCCTTGCTGCCTGTGTGCCATTCCAAATGAAGTCTGACCCATTCTTTTTGAAATGCACCGAGAAAGGTTAATTGATGCTGCATTTTTGATCACTTACCTGTAAGTCCTTGGCCTGAGTGAGTTTTACATATTGCTCCTGCCATGCCTGGATCAGTTCAGATAAGGCTTGTTGCAATCTGGAGAGAGATTGGTGGATCTCAGGAGTTGCATAGTGACCAGAATTGGCAAGTTTCTGACCAAAGCTGTTGAGTGAGTTGAATCTTTCCATTCGGGTTTCAATCTCTGCCTAAGTATATTAGAAAGATTGATGTCAAAGATTTATGGAAAGTCAGCTATTCAGGATATAGGTCTTTAAGGGAAGGAAATGGACTGCATTTTAATCTTCCAACACTCATATTTGTATGGAAAATCATTCACCTTTGTGCTATGTCACTGAAACAGCAAGAGAAAGTCTAAACAAATACATGTGGAAAACAAATGCCCTTATTTCTCCAAGATGCACTGGTCCCCTGCAAGTCAAGACTATGATTTGTTTGGGAACATGATGGAAAATGTTTAGAATTAAGTGGCCATGGGTTTTTAAGTTGCCTAACATCATTCCTTCCTCTCAAAAAGAGTGGCCTGAGGTGGCAAACTGTAGGTGGGATTTCTCTTCTCCTGTCAAATAGATCGACAGGAGGTTGTTTCATAACAGATACTGTGTAACCTTCTTTCTTGGTGTTGAAGTGAAACATGTTTAAACTGCTCTTCTAAAGTGAGAAAAAGGTAACAATATGTCTGTATAATGAATCCTTAAGGTGAAAATGTAATGTATTGTGAGTTCGATAAACTTAATGTGGAAATTGCAGCATAAACTTTTTGAAAATAAAAAAATAATTCAGTAAAATAAAATTGGGCACTCACTTTTTAGTAGTATGGACATGCAAAACATCAGACAGTTGATGAAATAGTAATCAACTGAAATTAACACTGCTGATTCTTAGATCCAGCTTTTCCTTCACTATTAAGCTTTGAGGACATAGCTTTTAGCTTTGTGTAAGTTAATACTTAACAGTCCATTTTATGGCTGGATATTTGGAATGTACAACAAAATATTTTGGGTGAGGCCTCTTTCTACTGCATTGTAAAATTATTAAGCTTATTCGATTTATTTCTGACTTGAAAGAAAATTGGCAGCACTCAACACTTGTATCCAAACACAGGAAAATATGAGGGGGTTGTTGTTAAATCCAGATTTAGACAATTAATTAGAATTATATTCTATTAATGCTAGGACCCACAGAACATGTGGACTTTTATTAATAATTTTTGTTAATGATTCTGGGAATTATGACTGTTAATAAAGGCAACAAAACTGCAAAGGATTTCTGAAAAGTGAGGGGGGAATCACATGATAAAAGGTGATGAAACAGCTAGGATGGGGAAGAGTTAGTTATTGTATGATATAGATCATTGTTTTGCAAAGTTAATTTAGCCATCCCACCCTTAGTAGGAAACCTGAAAAAAAAAAAGTTAAGAAAGCAGAAAGGGGACTAGATGACTTAAGGAATTTGCACTGGGATAAGGAGTATTTTAGCTTGCCATGTTTAGGTAACAAAACGGGGCTAGCACAGTGGTAGGCAATAAAACGTCAGCAGTTCACCAGGATTAGCCCCGGGTGGGCTGCTGCTGCTATATTTATGGGCACCTCCGTGGGTATGGGTGATCGTAGCTCCCATTGGCCAGGAACGGAAAGCCACAGCCAATGTGATCCCCCTTACCTGTTGAGGTGCAGGTAAATACAGCAGTGCGGGGGCCCACCAGGGATTAACCCTGGTAGAGTAGATCTGGCCTGCAGGCTGGTATTTGCGCATCCCTGGACTAGCAGCAACTCTAAGTTACCACTTACCAGCCATTCGGTACCCTCTGTGAAATAAGCTAGTGGTCTCAATCCACTGCCTAATGTCTTCATCACAAAACATAGCTCATAACAACTGGTGTCAACTGACACCCTTGTTAGCAATCCCAACAGAGTGGTCAAGGACTGAATGGGCTGGAAGACTGAAGCACTTCTTTCTATCTAGAGGTAGACTCTTCAATTCGGTGTTAATGAACACTGACAGGACTGTTTAGAGAAACACAAATGGCCACATAGCCCATGCGGTATCTGTTCTGGGGATATACAGGTCCCTTCAGTCTCCAAAGACGATATTCTGGCATTTTCAGCCTTTTTTTCCAGTAAGAGTGAGGCCCATCCAGTGTGGGGAGTACGTCCATCATAGGGCGTTGTGACAGACTGCTGGCTAAGCTAGAGCTCTGCCACGGTAGCCTGACTAAAAAGACTTAAGGGAAACAGCTGAGCAAGCCCAGGTCTGAAGAGCTATTAGAACCAGCTGTGGGCCTCACAAGGCAGAGGAAGAAAGCCAGGAGGAGCAAGGAGCCAGGGTGTGGCTGAGTGTGCTCCCAGGAAGATAGAGGAGCTGGCTGAATTGACTGTAAGCCTTGTACATAGAAGATGGTGGGAACTAACAATAAAAGCATGGGTGACTGCACCAGAAGCGTCTCTGGCTGATTTGTGGACCAGAAGGGGTACGTCTAGATTACATGCCTCTGCCGACAGAGGCACATAAAACAGGCTACCCGACATAGTCAATGAAGGGGGGATTTAAATATCCCCGGCTTCATTAAAATAAAAATGGCTGCCGCACTGTGCCGGCTCAGCTGATTGTCAGCACAGCGCGCGAGTCAAGACGCAGATCAGTCAACAAGGGAAGCCTTTGTTGACCGCTCCCTTATGCCTTGTGAAACGAGGTTTACAGGAGTGGTCGACAAAGGCTTCCCTTGTTGACCGATCCGCGTCTTGACTTGCGCGCTGTGCCAACAATCAGCTGAGCCGGCACAGTGTGGTGGCCATTTTTATTTTAATGAAGCCGGGGATATTTAAATCCCGGCTTCATTGACTATGTTGGGTAGTCTAATTTACATGCCATGGCCAAGGTGTCCCAGATCAAGAGGCCTGAGTGGGGATTCCGCCACAGGCATCCTGCTGTGAGTAATTCCAGTCACAGAACCCTGGGAAGATTCTCCAGGGGATTTAATTATACGTGATGATCATTACTTGCCTTTCTCTCGTGATGCTCTTCAATCATGCTGTCTGCCTCAGCTGGGCTCTTAGGAAGGCCCCCTGCTGCCATTAAGCCTCTGATTTTTTGAGTCCAATCTAGGAGCTCTTTCAGATCCAGGTTAAACTTCTGTAGCTGGTAGGAAGCTGCCAGCTTTTCCCTCCTGCCACATGAAGTACAATTACACATTCGGTAATACACAATCAGTCTACTTCCTTTCCCTGCACAGCCCCTACTCCTGCACCATTCTCTACAAGAGTGACTCTCAACCTTCCCAGACAACTGTATTTTAGAAGTCTGATTTGTGTTGCGGACCCCCAAGTTTCATCTCACATAAAAACTACCTGCCTACAAAATCAGACTTAAAAATACAAAAGTGTCATAGCACAAAAATGCTTACTTCCTCATTTTTAACCATATGATTCTAAAATAAATCAATTGGAATATAAATATTGTTCTTACAGTTCAGTGTAAAGTCTATAGAGCAGTTTATACAAGTCATTGTATAACATTTTAAATTGTATTGACTTTGGTAGTGGTTTTTATGTAGCCTGTTGTAAAATTAGGCAAATATCTATATGAGTGGATGTACCCTCTGAAAGACCTCTGAGTACCTGCAGGACTGCATGAAACCCTGGTTGTGATCCAAAGCTCCTGCTGGGAGAAGCTAAGGCTTGGGTAATTTGTAAACTACAAGTCAGCCAGCATTTCCAAACAACTCCTCACAGAATTGCTGTGAAGCTGAGTTCACAGTAGCTGTAAACTGCATTAGAATCACCATGATGACATTATTTTCTTGAGTGATTCCTCAGGAGAGGCCAGAACTGAAGCAACTTAAAATCCTTCACAGTCACTTCCTTAAAGTGATGATTCCTGCTCAGGGCCAGCCTTTGGATTTTTGGATGGACCTGCGAAACCATCTTTCATCCTCATCCAGATATAACTGCTGCACACAGTGATCTCACCAGGGCTCGTCAGAGGATTTGGGGGAATTTAGAGAGATTATTTTTGGGATAAACCACAGCTTTATTGGACTCATCTTACATAAAAAAATATATATGTGGAACTTCAATTCCATTAAATCAACCACATTCTGTCACAGAAGTAAAACCCAGCTGTCTGCACTTAGTGGCCTGTGGCAATTGGCTTCAGGGCCCAAAGGAGCAGCTCTATTTCTGCTGACAGTCAGATAGCAGCTGGATAGAAAGCTTTACCTTTGTTTGGCCTGCCCTTGGAGTCGTAGCCAGTTATCTTTCATCTCTCTTTGCTTTGTACTCAGTTTGTCATTTATGGATGGATTCCTCTTGCAAAGGCGGAAAGATTCGAACTCCAGTCCCTAAGGAAAGATTTATAATGGGCTACATTTACTCAAATTAGTTATTGTATTGGTTTCTATGAGCTAATCTTTCCATTCAATCACTCGAAGGAAAAGTCCAGGTTTTCAAACATGGGAGCCAAAATTGTGGCAACATATTATAACACAGGCAGTTGTTGTATGCAGACTCCACATTGTGTTTGCAAATAATCATCCAAATGCACAAAACAAGTGACTATAAATGCTATTTTGCACACACACTTCAACTGACACAAATGCTGTTTTTCCGTGTGTAGGTGAACATTTATTGGTACCACTTAGGCCCTGATGTTTGAACATTTCACCCTTAAGTAATAAGAATACTTTTTCCTTTTCTATATAGAGTATTATTGTAGTGGTATCAGTCTCAAGATATTAGAGAGACAAGGTGGGTGAGGTAATATCTTTTATAGGACCAACTTCTGTGGCTGAGATAGACAAGCTTCTCTGGTTTATTGGCCATTGGCATGAGGGTGACGAACACGGGAGTTCTTGCCTGTTCACACTGGTGACTTGAAGGTGAAATGATGGCAGCTACAAGGAGGCTAAAGATCTTTACAGTGTAGGGCATCGAGACAATAAAAACAAATGTTGATAGATAATTGGCTATAGATTATAGGTTTGAATGTTTTCCCAAAATGTTTTCAGGGCATCACTAATTGCCAAGAAGTAACATGGGGTGTTCCTATGGACTTGACAGGTACAGGTACATGATGTTACTGACATTGCCTTGACCATCAGCACAGGCTCAGAAGCTCATTTGTCTCTGCTTCAGGAAACTGCAGTCCCCAAACATCACTTTCAGTGTGGGTTTGTGGTTTACTGAATTGCTACTTAGTGAGGTTCTGCGACCATTATTTAACTCAGCCTGGCCAAATTGCCCAGGATTACCATCTGGATTCCCCTACCCTCCACCATGAAGATGAAATGAAATATATATATCTAAAAATAGTGAAAAATTTAAAAGGAAGAACGTTACTTGCCCATCAAGAAAGCATATTTGTCTCTGGTAAATAATATTTTGCCAGGCTGCTTTAATCCATAAGGAAATGTGTGTGTGTGTTATATGGAAGGGAGGAGGAATCATCAGAAAAGATATTTATCCTATGTTAAATTTACTGCAGGATATACCTAATAGTATGTGAGGAACAGACAAATATATATGGTGTTCACAAATAATCAGCTTTTTTATAGTATTATAATTAACCAACAGGATATTATTCTATTAATTGATCACACATTATCTGCCTTTGCATGTTTTTTTTTCAAATAAAGTTGAAAGAAATTTGCGGTCTCCAAACAGCCATTTGAAATAAGTAATTATCCTGACATCTCCAGTTGGTAACCAAATTGGGAACACTAGCTTATGTGACCTGCACCACTATTTGGGGATCTTTACACAATTTATGAACTTATCTTTACCAGACTTCAAACTCCATTTTGAATGTGCAGCCTTTTGCCTTCTCTGTTGTCTACCTGCTTCAGTATTGGGCTGAAACTCTAAAGGCTGGTGGCAGAAGAAAGTCATTGAATTTAAGTGCTCTTCCATTGACCGGGAACTGTTTTAAATCATAATGGCTCCCAATGAAGTTTTGTAGGGGAAAAGTTGCCTTGGTAACAAAGATACCTGGCAGAGGTCTCTGATCATCTGGGAAGCTTGTGAGGATATAAGAGATATAAACTAAGATGAGTTGATTTGTCTGGGTCTTTGGACATTCAGCTAAGGAAAAAAAAGCAACCCAGAATATAGGGGCCTACATGAAGCTGTGGGCCCTGCTTGCTTTCCTGGACCTAGTTAGTTCCCAGAATGAGTTAGGGAGGGGCACTGCAATTAGGATGTTTGTCTTGTTGTATATGTGCTATACTCTCTTGTGCTTTATATCATTAGGTAAAAGGGCAATTGAGTTAGACTTACAACTACTTATTAGCTTCTGAGAGATTCAAATGGTGAACCAGAAGACACATCATTTGGTGGGGTTTTGGAAGAGGATGTATTAAGTATAGAGGAATCTGAAGGGTTAGCCTGGTGCCAAAGGGGCAAAGCATTTTTCTGCTCTCAGAAAGAGGTGCCAGATAGGAGTGTGCCTAGAGACCTTAATATTGGGGCAGTGCCTGCATCCTATTTAGACCCTCGAAACTTAAAACATTCAAGGTTCCAAGAACCCAGAGCCTTGGATTTCTCTCTCAGCTGTATTGTGGGTGACTGGCAGGGGGAAAAGACTGGATCTGTGTCAACCTGAACTACTGCCTGTGAAGTTGAAACGTTATCCCTTAGTCATGGAAAGGTCCATTTTACATGCTCATGAGTTGCTGAGAGTATTAAAATTTGAGATTTGGCCATTCTGCTTAGGGGCCTCTACTTGAAAACTGTGCCCATTGAGTTTTGCCAGTGTTTAGAGCAGAAATGGATCTGTGGTTTTGGTTCAGTCCATTGCTGTTATAGAAGCCAACTTGCAAGGATGTGATAGGGATCTGGATCCATACTTTCCACAAGTTTAGGGAAAGGCCAGTCCAGGATTGAGGTGTGGAATCATCTTCAGACAAAAGAAACATGATGTGCTAAAAACATACATCCCCGTCTGTCTCAGCTTTAGAACTTCAGAAAGGTATGTATACGACATGTTGGGATTGAGGGGAATACAAAGGAATTACAATCCTTCATTATAAAAAGGTCTGCTCTTAGGCCCTCTGAGTTTTCTATCTGCTACTTCCCCATCCCAATTAATTCAGCCACTCCGAAGGAGCTCATCAAGCTTTTTAGCACTAGCAGCCCCACTCTGTAACCTCTACTCTTCAACCTCTCAAAACAAAGGAAAAAAAATCAGAGCATTGTTCTAGCAGCCCCAATCTGTAACCTCTACTCTTCAACCTCTCACCTCCATTTTGGACTTGATGACACTGATTTCCCTCTCCATTTCCTCATGTCTTCGCATCAGGTTCGACACACTCTCCACATCTTTCCCATAGTCCAATGCTTGTATCACTGCACTCTTGGGGGAGAAAGAAGAAGAAAAATAACATCATCATATCTCAGCTCCTTCAAATATTTCCTTCCTCCTCTCTAAAAGCCATTTTAACCCTCTCTTAAATTCCAACAATGAAATCACAGTGACAGATCTCTGTGCCACTTATGGAGGTAGAAAAAGTGTTGATAACTCTTTGGCCAGTTCCAGCCCTGCTTAACTCGGTGTGTATCTTTATATATATAGCTTGTATATTTAACATAGAGGCAAGAAAGACTCTCTGTTTTGTTCCATCCCCTTTCTTCCCCCCCTCCCCCCAGAAATCAGAATACTAATGGGCAAAACCTATAACTTCTTCCCCCCCAGAAATCAGAATACTAATGGGCAAAACCTATAATGACAGGGCTTTCATGGGAAATTTATCATGCCTAAAATTGCAATGAAAGCGCATTTTGTGAAAACTGGAAGGGATTTTTTGACTTCTCAGAATTTTGCTAGAAGTGAAATTTTGGAGACTCAAGAAGAACTTGGAATTAATCAGAAAAACACTTATAGAAAATTTTACAACAATTTTTTTATCAAGTTTAACAAGCACTAATGTATGTGTGTCTGCTGATTAAAGTTATATAAGAATGATATAAAATCATGCATCTGAAATAACTTAGTTCTCATATAACATTTTGCTTACATAGGTTCTAAAGCAAAAAGCAATTATGGGTATTATTATTCTCCATTGACAGATGGAGAAACTGAGCAAAGAGAGAGATTAAGTGACTCACCCAGAGAAAAGATGGAGAAACTGAGCAAAGAGAGAGATTAAGTGACTCACCCAAAGTCATACAGAGGGACAGAAACATAGCAAGGAACGGAACACTGAATCTCTTGACTTAGTGTAGTATCTATCCACTACACCTTGCTATTTCCATTCTAACATAGCAAGGAACATAACACTGAATCTCTTGACTTACTGTAGTATCTATCCACTACACCTTGCTATTTCCATTCTAAGGGATCTGTCCACCTCCTGAATGACTAAGCATGGAGCTAAAACATCCTGATTAAGTCATATTTCAATATTAAATGAAAAAACATTTATTTTTTACCCTAATCTGCAATTTTTGACAATTACTATTACCAGAAGTCATTATATTTGACTGCATTTCAGTTTTGCTGCAGACTCTGGTTCATAGGAAACTCCAGGGACAGTGCAGCAGTATATTACTCTACCTGAGTTTGCTCTACGATTTACAGATTGGTTAGAGATTTGTCATTCCTGTTTCGCACAGAGGCTATTATAAAAGTTCACCTTTCAATGTTCATTCTCTCTCTAATAATTGGACTAGTGGGAATTCATCTACTTTTACCAGCTGCCTCCTTATCTACAGGATCAAGTGATTCTTCAATTTACACCATCATGAGCAGCTCACCTTCTCACTAATTCTCTCTGTGATGTCATCGATTTCTCTGATTAATGCATGGATCTCCAGGGCTCCCTCCAGCTTCCTTCTGTATGCATTCAGGTTACCATAGAAACTGGTCCACCTTTTATTGAAAAGATAAGTTTAGAGGAAAGAATGAATTTAGAACCTCCACAGGTGCAGCTAGATTGCATTCAAACAGGGGATTTCTGCTCTCCCTCTCCCACTGACTCCCCCTTATCACAGTAGTACAGATGCATCTCATAGGTAAAGCATTAACCTGTAGGAAAGTGACTGTTCTAGGATTTTACGAGCCTAGGTAAGGGGCTCTCAGAGGAGGATAACAGGAAGTTCCCAGTATTGGAAGGGATTCTTGCATGGAACAAATCCAGACCCAACTGCCAGAAATCCATGCTGCTAATTCTCAATCCGGGCCTTGGGCTGTGAACCAGCAAGAGTGGAAGAAGTTGGCTAGGAACACAGGTTTTCAGGGGTTGGGATGGAACTAGTTTGGAGTCAGACTGGGTCAGATGAGGGACAAGTGATGTTGGCCGCAAACAGAAAGCAAGGAGAAAGTGAGAATCTATTGTGAGGAGAGAAAATCTGTGGTGGTATCAGCAGTTTGCAGAAGAACTAGAAAGCCTGATGTACGCCCATATTACACAAAGATAATTGGGTAAGATATTAATAGGAATGAGGGATGGAGTGCTCTGTTAAACACAGAGCTCAGGCTGGGTTTCCTGACTGTCTGTCGCCACTGCCTGTATCTTCAGGATTCTATTGCCCTGAGATTCCACCCTCACAGGAAGGGAGCAAGGTATCCTTTTAAAACTTCCCCAGGACTACCTGGTGATCCATTGGAAGTACTCTATGCTACCATGCATAGGAACATGCCCATTACTATGCCAGATGCTTTGGCAGTCTCTACAGGAAACTCTTATTGGCTGGAGGTGGAAGCCAGCATGTTGTACGTCATATTAGTAGAAGAGGATACTTAAAAGGAGAAAATGTGTGTATGTATATCCAGCCTTTGTTCAACCAAGCCCAACCCAGCTCAGCCGTCTTCTCCTTCCATAAAACCATTATGACTGCTTTAATTGACCTTTCCATTGTCCAGAACCTGGAATGTATACTCACTTTTCATTAAGCTGCTTCCGGCGCTGATACACTGTCTTCATCTCTCCCTTGTTCTGTCTCTCCAGTTTCATGGCTAGGGCATTGATAGTTTTGATGTGAGCATCATCTACTGTCATCTCCTAAGAAGCCAGAACAAGGAAATACCATTTGTGTGCCCAACATACCCATAGCTGTGCCAGCTACATAGAAGATCTCAGATCCAAATGCTATCCCCTGATATAGCACTCTGGTATCACTCTCAGACAGAGATGGAATTGTGGGAACCAGGAAGTACATCACTATGAAACCAACAATGGTCAAAGTTCCATACCAGGGCCTTAAGGGCTTCCTATCTAATCAGAGTGGAGACTGTCAAACAAATCACCACATTGTCAAATATAATCCTATCCTAAACTGTATAAATCTTTTATTCTTCTTGCTTCCCACATAGCATACTATGAAAATGGTAATATTGTATATGTGATGGATAGCAAGAGTGCTGGCCTTTTCTGAACATCCCAGCATTCAGCAATCAACCGTTTAAACTCAGGTGTCTAGGAGGAGTTGGCAGGGAACCAGGAAAGCCAATGGGAGAAGGTGTTAACAGTTGAAATTAAAAAAAACTGTGTTTGCTTTTTCTTCTTTTTGTGACTTTTAAGCCAGGAGTTGGGGGGGAACAAGATTAATTGAATCAGGTAGAACTACCATGCCTACAAAGAATGCTGGGCATGGAAATGGACTGGACTCTGAAGCATGGATCTGTAGGTAGATAGGGAATGTCCATTTAGATGGGATCAGGATTTTGTTGTTGTTTGTTGTTGCTTGGTTAAATGTCTCTTTGCTAAGTCCACGTGCCTCCCCATACATTGTACTTTAAGCTGTATTCCAGGGATGGAATTTCTCTGTGTTTTTAAATTATTATTTTCTCAGTTGCTTTAAAACACCTAGCAACCAAGTATGCTTTATCAGTATATCTTCTTTGTTTTGTTAATAAAATCACCTTTTTAAGTCAATGATTTTATTCTTGTGCCCTGGAAGGTAATAGCAGGTTGGTGTATACAGTTAACTATCAGAGATTGCAGTTTGTTTTCTCTTTTTTTTTCCAAGCTCTCTTGTGGTAAAAGAGCTTGGGGTACCCCTCTGGAAGAAGTTCCCAAGTGCTTTCTTCTTGGATTAAAGAAGCAAAGGGATTTTTCTCACTTGGGTTGTGGCAGTTACCTCCCAAGGCCAGGAAATCTGTGATCTTGGGAAGCTTTTAAATAGAAGTCTACAAAGGCAAGGTATTTTAAGGTCTCTTGTGGTAGAAGCCTACAAAGGCAAGGTATTTTTAAGGTCTCTTGTGGTCCCCCACCTTCTGCACTCTGAGTGCCAGAGTGGGGAACATCCCTAACATGGTGGCAGTGCTGGTGGGATCATTTTGAACCACAGACCTCAGGATTTTAAAAGGACACTTTTTCCCCCTTTTCTTTTACTGTTACGAAGTTTTGGGTGTTTTTTTCTTTTGCTACCTGTGCTTAACCCTTTGGTTACTGAATGCTGGGATGTTCAGAAAAGGACAACACTCTTCCTATCCAACACAGTATATAACTCATTTTCTGAGCTTTGCCACATTAAAGGTTATTCTTCTGAAGCATGACCTGCAGCCAGTTCTGAACAGTACATGGAACTGAATGCAAAGTAGATGCATTCCAACACTCAAAAATATCAAATGTTGCCGTAAGTCCGGTAAATCACTAACTCAGATGGGAACCATTAATCATGGGTCTAGCAGAAGTACCTCGGCAGGATGCCAGCACTTGGATAATAGAAGTATTGATTCCATCTGCATTTTATAGATGCTACGTACATGCATATTTCTAAGTGTACTCTGCTGTGATACACAGCTGGAAAGTGAACACACTAAAAGCATTCTATATAGAATATAATCCATCTGATCCAGGAAAAACTATTCTAATGAATCAGAGCCCTGCAGTCTTCTCTGCTGGAGGATAGGAAATGACTCAAGAGCCAGAAACCCTCAGTGAACCCATATTCCACATTTCCATGCTGCTAATTCCCAGTCTGGCTATTGGGCTGAAAACCAGCAGAAGTGGGAGATACATAGGACCATTGCCCCTAGGCTGGTAAGTCACCATCCTAAACCCAGGTTTGCCTGGCAGTTAACCCTGTGAGACTGGCGAAGAATCATTTACTGGAAGGGTGCAAGAAATTACCCAATGCCCAGCTTCTCTCCACTTGTGCCACTGTGCTATGGCTGAGCACTGGTTCTGAGGGTGATCATTACAATGCGAACCTCTCAAAGAAGTGTATGGAACAGCATCGGAGAACTGGCTATGATGGCAATTTTTCTGCCGCCTAATGCAGAAACTAGCAAAATATATCATTTCCTGAGGCACGTGATCCACGTAAGAGCTACCTTGACCTTACCTTAACAGGGCTCAAAAAAGAACTAGATAAGTTCATGGAGCTTAAGTCCATCGATGGCTATTAGCCAGGATGGTGCCCACAGCCTCTATTTGCCAGAAGCTGGGAATGAATGATGGGATGGATCACTTCATGATTACCTGTTCTGTTCATTCCCTCAGGGATACCTGGCATTGGCTACTATCAGAAGACAGGATACCAGTGTGACTGACCCAGTGTGGCTGTTCTCATGTACCTTACTCCCAGAGCAACTTGAGGATGATATCATTCTCCCCTCCCCAAGTACACCATTCCTAACTCTTCCTTTTGGTTGCCACTTTCTATATCAATTCTTCCTTTACTGTCCTTTAGATGCTAGCTCTGCAGGTGAGGGCTAAAGGCCTAGTGCAGGTTTCGATGCTAACTCTGCAGGTGAGGGCTAAAGGCCTAGTGCAGGTGTCTTCTGGACTTTTCTAGCCTTACTTCATTGATATCTGAAGTGTGACAGTTTTGGTACTCTGCCTACATACAATACAACTGCATTCTTACAGGGACTCCTAGAAATAGGAGGCACTGAAAAGAAAAGGCCAGGATTTCTTTCCAAGCCCCAGGTACCTCAGGACTCTCATTCTTAAATAGTATCAGTTTCTCCATCTGCTATTAGTGGGGAGAAAAGGAAGGTCTGAGAAGTTCTGACATAATTTGGCAGCAGTATAAGGAAGGATATGGGGAACATGGGCAGATACTGCTAAAGGAAACTCTCACAGACAGACCTAATATTTCCCCCTCCAGATATTAAACAGGGTTCCCGGCTATCATGTTAGCCACACAATGAAGGTATTCTTTCTTGATTGCACACTGAGACCTCTTTGCCTTTGCCTAAATTAGCACTCCAATTGGGATGTGCGAAAGCCGGCTGCAGTTTGTCTCCACGGTGTATAGCTCTGAGATCTCAACAAAGAAAGCTGAATCAGGCAGCAAGGGTGCAGTTGCTCTACAGCAGAACCTGTTTGTGAGTGTTCCAGATGGCTCTGTGCCCCACTTAGCACATCCACAGAGATGTGACCAACACAACAATAGTGACTCACCCCCAGAAAGGAAGATCTTAGAGAGCTCAGAAGAGAAAGCTGGACCAGGCAACTGTCATAGCACATTGCTTTTATCCAATATGCAAAGTGTGACTATATGTTATAATCATCATCAGTGAGAAGCAGGATGTGCAGCATAAACAAAAGACACAAAACCACACTTTATTTAGATAAAGAAATGTAAGAAACTTGGCAGTTTCAGATCAAGGAAGGAAATGTGGAAGAGGAAGCCACATGAGACCTTTTTTGGAGGTTCGGTTATGACAGGCTGGAACATGTTCTAGGTACAAATCAATCCAAATTGAATCTCACCTGAAACTACCAAGTTTTGCCTGTTTTGACATGAAAGTGGAACACACTGAGTTTTGCATAGTTTCTATCCAAACCCATTTGAAGCTCACACCAAATCTAGCCTACGGTCACTCAAAAGAGTTTCGGATTTGCAATGCAAAATTTCAGATTTCACTGCCATCATTTGTACAGTGTTGTAGTGATGTCATCAGACATTTGATACAGTGGGGCAAGGAGAGCAAATAATGGCTATTGTAGCAGGTTTTGAACTGGCAAATCCCCCTACACTTCCTTCTTCTCTTCCTTCCCCTAAGGAAAATTAAATGGTTTCAGTAGTTGTGATGTGCGGCTGTGCTGAAAAGCTAGTTTTTGGTTTGAACCATGCCAAGCATAGGGGACTAGGCATGAAAACTTCTCTTACCCCTGATGCTGCTCCATGGAACTCATTCAGCTTTTTCGTGAGCTGCACACAGTGTTCATAGTCATTCCCCACATCACCAATATTAATCATCACTTCCTGGGGAAAGGAAAAATAGTCAGGTGGATATTCAGCTAGCCACAGGACTCAGCTCAGGCCTAGTATGGCAAGTAGCCAGCATTTCCCATTATAAACCAAAAGTGATTTCACTCATCCTACAGCCACATGCTCTGGGAACAGAATATTGTTTGGGATGGAGTTTTGTACATCAGGGTCCAACATTGTTTAAAGTGGAAGTTTTCTGTGTCCCCGAATATCACATCCCATTCTTGGCTGCTTGCCCATGCACCTTGATTGCAGAAACTGACACCAGGAATAGAGATTGGATTCCCACAATCTGAAGGACATGTTTTGATAGCAAGATAAAGTAGTCCTCATTTTGAAGCCCCAAATATATCTATTTATTTTGTTTCCCCTAAAGTGGATTTTAGAATTCATAAAAGTGAAATACTATCATAATGGGCTGAAGCATGGTGCTGCAGAGGATGGCGTTTTGCAAGTTTCTGTGACACCCCTATCAAAGTGCAATTTATAATGATCTACAGAACTCTTGGACCTTTCCTTTAGTCCTGGTCTCCAGCTCTGAAAATGCATCTTATTTAGTACCTGGACTTTTTGCTGGACTTAGGCTTCTACTAAGCAGAGATTGGCCAATGAAGTTAAATTTTGTATAGTTTTGTGACATAGACAAATGGCCAGAGACTATGATGAGGTCACCACCTATATCATTTACATCTCTTGTAATACTTGTGCAATGCACCATTTAGTACCAACTCCCCATTCTTAAGAGCATGTGCCCTACAAGTGAAGTATGACTACTGATGTCTGAGTAAAGAACCTACATGTGTCTTGTTGGACCAGGTGACTGTTTTTCATTCTTACAAGAAAATATGTCTCAGATTTAATTCACAATTTAGTGAATCTCAGATTTTAGGTGCTCCAATCTTCTTTAATATCTCTGTTTCAGAGAAGGTGTAAAAACAGAGTCCTGAAACTTTTGGTCACTATAAATCCCATGATACTTTTTTTTAATAATTAGGGAAGTTAACACTGGTATCCTGGCCAAATTTCAAGTCTGGCATGGACACATGCCAGAATGTTTTAACAGTTGCTGGGATGTTCCCTATATACAATCTGTAAAGCACTTTCAGGTTACCCAGGACAATAGACACTACGTAAATGTCTTGAAGGGTGATATCATCATCAAATGTTCATTACTAAAAGGCAGTTCTCTATGTTGCACCATGCATTTGCTTGCCCCGATTAAAGAATAGAATCCCTGTACCTTCTCCCTGATCCAGGCTTCCACTTGGTTTACTTTCTGCAGAAACTCCAGGAAGTCCCGAATGTCCTCCAGCTTCTTTCCATGGGCAGCAACAGCCCACTTCAACGTCTCCCAGTGCTCCTGCAGCAGACGGGTCCTACGACAGATCTCCCCTGATTTCGGGTGGCTCCGTGACACAAGGGCTTCCCCTTTCTTATTTTTCAGAAAGAAAGGGTTAGAAAGGAAGTTTACCCCTCAGGGAACAGTTACATAGTCTTTCTAGGAGGATCTCCCTCTCCCCACTTCCCTCTAACTCCCACCCCAACTACTATCCACTATTAGCCGGGGAATTCAGTGGCTCTGATCCCATCTAGGGAATACAGACAAAGAGAAGTCCCCTGGAAACCATACATGGTCAATTAATGGGACTCCCCACCATGAACGAAGGACATTTCAGTCACCCCTATGAAATATCAGCAAGGACCGACTCTGTGCCAGGGAATGCTTAATACTTACTTTAAGCATCTTCCCTCTCACCTTCTGCGGAATGAATCTGCAATAGAGAGCAGCAGAGTGTGAAAGTTACCTTGTTCACAGCTGTGATGATCTCCTCATTAGCCAGAATCTCAGCTTCAAAGACCTGATGTTTCTGCAGCAGCTTCATTTTGTCCTGCAGGTTGTTGAAGTCTCCGATGGAAGGGTCCTCCAACTTTTGCATGCGCTCATTGATCCAATCCTCTGCCTGCAACCAAGGGGAGCAGCAGAATTAACATGACACACAGAAGCTCTCTCTCTTAAGCTAAGAGCCTCCTCCAAAAGTACATTGTCCTGTGAAATGGTGTGTGTCTAGAGGAGATAGATTTCCAATAACAGGTAATAATGAAAGCGACTTTCTGATTTATGAACTGTCCAGCTCAAAAGGAATGAAAATAATTCCATCAAGTGATAGGGAAAAAATACGGACGGTTGCTTGGATATTGTTGTTGTTGTATCTCGGATTATAAATGAGATTAGATGCAAATCTATGGTTAGGCTTGCTCATTCACACAGGCCTAACATGTTGGTCATGTTTGGGGCCTGAGAGGAACTCTACCTCAGGATTACTGCCAAGGATCTTTTGCCCTTCTCCTGGAACACTTGACAACGTTCTTTCAATACATGCTCCGATGAACAGATATGAGGTGTGCACATGATCAGGGGTTGCAGTCTTTCCCGTCTTCTTCTCTCCTTCCCTCAAACAGCTAATCTAGAAAACCTTATGAGCCGTTGAATTAATTCCTTTTAGTTGTATGTGGTGGGGCACACAGGATTCCCCTTTTGTTAATTCAGGCACTGCAGCCCTGTGGGGAGCTGCAAGATAATTACTGTTAACCTATTGGGGTTCTTGCAGCTCATTAGAGTCCACCCTGCATATAAAGGTGGAAGGAGGTGTGTTCTGGAAACGGGGTGTGAGATGGGTTGTGCCTCAAGGAAGTAAAACCAGGAGCAGCTAACTCTGGGAAGAAGGCAACTTGGGAGTTTATAAGCTGTCTGCTCACGGGCAGCTGGCGGGGAGAGAGGGGGAACGACGTAGTATTGTTTTGCAATTATCTTTATTGTCAGAACTCCAGAGAGCAGGAGGGTGGTCACATATTTTAGTTCATTCTTTGTTTGGAGCTGGATGAGAGGACTTAGATAGCTTCCATTGCATTAATGATAGCCAGCTGTTATAGTGACTACAGCACAGGGCTGAGAGTACGGTACAGAACCCAGGAATCCTATCTGTGCCACTGACCTGCCTTGTTACCTTGGTTAAGTCACTTAAGAGCTCCATGACTAAGTTTCCTCATCTGTAAAATGGGGATATTTATCTATTCCAAGATGTAAGGTTTAATTAATTAATATGAAGCCGTTAGAAATCTTCAGGTAAATGCAGCCTGTTAGAATAAAACAGGTAATAGGATCTACTGCCATTTTGCACAAGCTAAGGAAAATGCCACTTTTTAGTTCTTAGCTCAGAAAGACAGGTCTTCTTTCCATTATACTTTTGAGAACTGGAAACTTGACATGTACCGTGATCGTCCTCAAACCATGGACATACAATGAAATTCTGGCTGTACAAGGACAGACAAGGGATATCATTTTTGTGTGTCTGACATAGGGATGTAAAAAGGGTTAAAGAATACTAATCATATAACCAATTACAATTCAGTTGGCTACACAGTTAACCGCTGCCTTACATCCCTAGTCTGAAAACACATCATCATTTGCCTGCCTTTGGGGGACTGCTCTGGCTGTATATGGGACTCAGAAGCTGGGTGATTTTTTTCTTGTTAATTACCAGTTTGAATCCTCCTTTCAGCCACTGAAATTCTGTATGCAAAGACAGCCCTCCTCTGTTTTCTCCTCCCCTAAGCACATGGAGGCGTTCAAAAAAGAAACTTGGTCTCAAGTTTGTCCAGGACAGCAAACTGTCATCTGTAACTTTCATTACTAATGCTCTCCCTGCTCATAAGCTGGGGCCTTCTCCCATTACGCAGCCACACATTAACTCAAAGGACACTTAACGGTGTCTCTGCTTTTTAAAAGCAGAGTCTTATCTGAACACTGAGACTGGTGAGTGGCCAATAGATCTTTCTTGGTAACCCACCAGGGGGTGGCTTTCACACTTTCTAATATTAAACCCAGAGCATGAGGATGCTATCTTTGTCAGGGCCACTGCCACACTCTAGTGGCAGACAAGATACAGTTTTGTTAAGATACCATTTAAGAACCATTCCTGAAGCTTTCCTCCTATCATTGTTAGTGACTTAGACAGTCCAGAGGCTTAAGTAGAAAGGAGCAGGGAGCAGGATCTAGATTAGGGTGGGGAACCTCAGGCCTGGGGGCCACAGTGTACTTGGATCTGGCCCCCGTGGCTCAGTGGCTCCCTCAGTGAAGGGGGAGCTGGCGCTGGCACTCTAACCCACCCGCTGCCCCTCTGTGGGCCTGGCGCACACAAAATCTACAAGGCTGGGCCCCCCCTAGGTTCTGGTGTACGAGGGGAATGTGAGGCGGGCCTTCTCATTTTGCTTCTCGCTTGTGTGTGGCCCGAACTGATTTTTCTGTGAGTCAGCAGCCCCCGTCTCAAAAAAGTTTCCCCACCCCTGTTCTAGATAATGAGGAGGACATTTAGGGGACATAACAAAGCTGATCTATTTTCCCAGGATCTCTCCAGGAAGTGGGTTGGGATAGGGATGATGAGTGAAATCCTTGCTCCACTGAGCTCAGTGGCAAATATCCCATTGGGTCAGGGTTTCACCCAGTTTAGACAAATGGGAGCAGCCTGATTTCTGATGGGCTCCGGTTGTTTTGTTTTCAATTCTATACAGTATCTATTTAGAAGCATTTATTTGTGAATGCATCTGTGCTCAGGACTCAAAATGAGCATATCTGGCAACTAAATTACATTATTAAGCACAATACACAGCATTTATATAGCACTATAGGTACGGCACAGATATTAATGAATTAATCCTCCCAACACCTCTAGGAGGTAGGTGGATAGGTATCATCACTCTCTTTACAGGAAGTGAAACAGAGAGAAAGGTGAAGAGACTCGGCCAAGACTATATGATAAATGAATGGCAAGCCCAGCATCAAAATGCAGAACTTTCCAACTTTCATTCTTGTGACTATTCCTTCCCACTAAAGTAAATACATTCCTAATCAGCAGCTCCCCTTTTTTCTGGATCATTAAGGACGTGATGCACAATTTGTGGCAACACAATTCATCAGCATGGAAGCATTCTGAAGACCTCACTAACACAGGGTGTTCAGATAGCTACGATAGCAAAAACTACCCCACTATTGTACCCAGTGCATCAGAAGACTATGCCCCATTCTGTGATCCATATGTGTTTGCTCTCAGATTGCCATTCCTATCTAGAAATAAAACCACATACCCTGAAAATGCCCTGGCTGCTGCATTTTGCACCAGCTGACATGAAACAGTTCATATGACATCACGGTTCTGCTTTCTGTACGGTCTTTCCCATAAATACAGAATCCAATTCTCTGCCATGATATTCAAAGTTCTCCATGTGAGCAGCTGTAGTTATTGGAGAAATTGCCTCTCCCCCATGGCTATAACTGCTACATTGAGATGGAACAATGATTCTATCAAACCCCAGGGGATAGTTTGATAGACTGCAGAAGGCGGAGTGACTGCAGAAGGCGGAGCTGGGCCTAGACTATGGAACTTAATCTCATAAGAAATAAGAATAACTGCTGGTGGCGCACCCTGGGGAACCACAGGGCAAGATCCTGCTCTAAGATATACAGATGGGTCAGTCAGAAAAACAGGGAGAGCTTTTTTCCCTAGCTGAGGAGCAGAGAAGGATGACAGTGTAATGCTCTGGGGGTACTAAGGAGCAGATATGTCCCTGCACCAGCTTTGGACTGCATCCACAACTGGCACTGCTGGTGCCCCACCCAGGCAGCACACTTGTGGCCATCGGTCTCATTAATCTGGGATACACTGAAAGTAGCAGCCATGTGCAATTCACCATTCACTGCCCCAGCCCAACTCATGGACTGTCAGGAGTGTTTGTGGGGCAGGGGATGCATCAAGGCAGCATGCTCACGCCTGCCCAGGCCAGGGCTTGGCCTATTACCTATTGACAAATGCAAGGTCAGCATTTGGCTGATTTATAGGGTCTTGCTAGAACACATTTTATAAAGAAGATGGGCTGCGTCTCTTTGAAAACTTTTTTTTCCGACCCTGAAATCAAACACTGCCAAGAAAGAGGGACCTGCTGACCCACTGAACTGCTTCACTGAATCATTTTAGGAGAGGGGGACACCCACAGGCTGTTTATAGAAATGGAATTTTAAAAGCTGTTTGTTTTTAAACAAACACACACACACACACACACACACACACACACCTCGTGTCTGTGATAAAAAAAATAAGGAGCTAGTTGTGGGCAGCAGTTTTCAAGCTGGCATTTGCTTTGGGTAGCAAGCTGGGCTTGAAATATGTCAGCTTAGCACAGAGCAGCATTTGGGCTGACAGAACATCTCTGCATTTTCTCTCTGCTCGGGGAAGTGTTTAAACGGAGGCCTCCACAGTAACAATGTGAGCAAATGCCTCTTTCAGCTCCCCTGTGTGTGTTGTTTGTGCCAGCATGATGGACACTGGCACATTTTTCAGGCACGCACATTGGGCTGCCCTTTGGAAATGTGACCTGGGACGCTTTCCCAACAGTGATGTCAGCATCAGGAACAACTCTATTACAAGGCTAAGTCCAGAACAGGAGAAACAAATAGAATCTGATTCATTTTACAGAGATGGGCCTAAAGCAGCAGAAGAGGGACTCTAACTTCTGACACTGGCATAAAATTCCTAAGTGACCTTTTACTGGTAGAGGGTAGGCCAATGCTGGGCTTCACTGTTCTCTCTCCTTCCCCACCTCTATCTTCCTTTGGAATGCCAATCCCTTCCCTTTAGGCCAGAGAGAAGGGAGCAAAGGGCACAGAAGACAATTATTCCACCTTTGCCATTTTTATCCTAGTGAAGAGTTCCCGTCTGTGTAAAGTGGCTGTAAATGGATTAGATAATACAACCCTGGAAACCATGCCAGAATCAGGGTGCAATAACAACCACCTTTATTAAAATAATTACCTCTTTGGATGTGTAGAGACACAGGTGTTGCTACACCTAGACAGACCTCTGATGCGGCTCGTCTCTTGGGCCTGGTCTATACTAGACCAGGCGGGGTG